CTATGAAATCTATGAAACAACCCAAAGCTCCTTCATCAGTGATACTTCCAAATCAGTGTTATCCCTTTGTTTTCCATCCCTTGCTGTAACACCTTGCATTTGGTTTAACTAAACCCAAGTTTTGCACTCAATGCAGGGGGTCACTGGATGAAATTCTCTGGCCTGAGCTATACAGGATGTCAAGATGGATGATCTGACAAACCTTCTGGCCTCAGCACCTGTGACTCTGATTGGAAGCCATGGTAGAAGTAGTATGGTCCATTCAGTTTACCCACTGACCTAGCATCATAGGTTGACCAATAAATGGCTGATGAAGCCACCCCTTCTTTTCACATTAGAACTGGTGTTTATGGTCCCCTAGCTCAGACACGCAGCTTCCCTTTGCTTGGGAGTCTGCATCATGTACTCTCTAGTGTGACCCCTTTTACTTTGTGGTTTTGCTCCACAGCAGAGGTATCCCAGGGTCTTCTGCTCAACATGGGCAGCCTGGGCTGAAGACACACAGATGAGTTATTATGATGCCAGCCAGTAAACGGCAGTAATGCATACTTCCCCTCTGCTGAGGCTGCTTGTTGGCACTCCACAGGGATGTTTCATTGGCTGTCAGCAGTAGTCTGTGACACATGGCTGACCAATTCTGAATTCGGACAATGGAGGGGAGAGGAGTAGTAGACAGACATATGCACATACATACACTGAGTCAGGTTCATTCCTGCCAGTAGGAACAGATGGACAGACACACACATACATACACACAAAGAGCAAGCCTTACCTCTGTCACCTGGGGACAGCAGGGACAGACACGCACATACACATTCAGTTTCCCTCATTTTATACCCTGCTGACATTAATGATCTGGATTCTTAGTTCGATTGACATGGTGCCAGTCTCACTAGTGCTGCACCTTTGTGCCGTGAAAGGTGATCAAGTACTCTGGGTAGGCGTGGTCATCAAAGAAGGTTACAAACATGGTGGGACGTGAAGCCAAGTTGGCCACACTGTCATATCGGCCACTTCCATCTGGCTTCTGTGGGGGCAGTGCCATCTTCTCCTCCCCTCGGGTGAACTGCCCCGTCAGCACCCTTGCCTGGAACATGAATCGGTGCCCAGAGGAATCAGGTTCGGCATAGAAAGCAGATAGGGAGGCATCCACACCAAAATATAGACCCTGTCCATAGAGTCCAACTGGGAAGAAGAGACGAGAGAACAGGGACAATCAACATATAGACAGCGAGACAGGAAAAGAGGGCCTTTCCACTTTAGAGGGCATGAGTTCCCATCCTGCATTAGGAGAGGTTGATTTAGGGGTGTGTGGAATGGGAAACAGGGTTTTTCCAGTTTATGGAGACACTGGTTCCACTTTAGACCCCAAGAAAGGGAACTGGCTGGCTCAGGTGGTAGGGAATGGGACATGTAGGTTTCTCCCTCAGCGGGGGCTGGGTTCTGATCTGGTCCCAGGACAGTAGGACTGGCTGACTTGCTGGGTGGGGAATGGGGTACAGGCCCAGGTCTCCCACATGCCTTTGTCTGAATCACCCCACACTCACACCTACCTTTCCTACAGGTACTTTTGAAGCCAATCTCCTGGATGGAGCAGCAGTTCTCAGGCTGTGTCCCATGGTAAAGGATGCGTTCATTCTTCACCCCCAGGGGGTTCTTTGTCACCATCCAGCTGCGCTTCCAACAGTAGGACACCCATAGGAACTTGTTCTGGACCCTCTCTATCTACAGGGAGATAGGGAAAAAGCACACTGTGGGTAAGGCTAGGCATTGCTAGCCCCCCCTAGGGCCATGAGGTAAGTCAGGAGAGTTTTCATAGTAATTCAGGGGCTTTCTACCTCACTCCTTACCAAGTTATATTGCCCCCACTTTTCTAAAATCCTGGATCTGCCTAAGCATTTCAACTAGCAGCTTCCATGTTAATCCCCATAATGGCTGCTTGCCCTTTTGTACCTCTGCCAGCTACTGCTCTTGCTGCTGCAGAACTGCTCAGTTAACCCTCTGTCTCATTCTCTATACCCACTTTGGCTTCACAGTGACCCTAGGGCCGAGCCCACCAGTCCATCATCCTAGTCTGAAGCTCCTCCACCCACTGGGGTACTAGGGTCCCTGACCCACTGCACTTACTTTGAGGATGGAGAACCCCTTGGCTGTACGGTTGAAGCCCTTGGCCACCTCCTGGTATTCCTCTGAGCTGGGCTGAAGCTCCACCATCTTCACGAGGCCCTCACCCATCGACTCCCAATGTGGGGCAATGACCTTGTCTGGAACAAAAATAGTTGGAGGTGGGGGTGTGGGGGAGTCTTTAATGGAGAAAGGCCCTGGATCTCACTTCCCCAATCCTGCCAGCCCTCCTCCACCCTAGGAGCCCTGATATCCAGCTTACTGAGAAAGTACAAAGGAATGAAGAGTCTCACCCTCCAAGCAGATCTCCCTCCTGATGCTGATGGTGGTCTTTCTGCCTGGCACAAATCCCTCTTGCTTTAGCAGGTCGACCTCCGTTCTCTGACCCTCCCATATGATCACTGTCTTCCTCTGCTTCTTCCCATACTCACTCTCCAGTTGGTGGCTGATGGCTATATCAAATGGGGACCATTCCCCATGGGACATGTGGTACCACTTCACCAGCCCATACAGGACCTGTGCATCCACCTGCTTGGCCTGGGCAGCCTGGATCTTAGCATAGACAGCTGCCACAGCCTTATCCACATCTTCTCGAAAACCACACACGCGGAGCACATTTCCCCGGGTGCGACGGAGGCTGAGGGGGAAACGATAGGAGGATCTCCTGCTGAGGTCTTCGAGGGTCTGGTCACTGAAAGCCACTATCTCTGCATTGCAAATGCTTTCCTCATAGAACTGAGTCATGAAACCAGACACAGCTCTCTTCACACAAACCACTTTGTCCTCTCTGCCCACAACCCTGATCGCCAGCCTTTCCGAGGCCTCTGCAAATGGAGAGAGTGCTCCTAAATGGGAAGCAACAGCACAGGGTGAGCCACACTTACAGGTAAAGAGGAATTTCATGGCTGTGGGTCAGGATTGAAGAGCACTTGGAGAGCCATGGGGGAATAAACCCTGAGCTGGGGTATCAATGAATGTGGCTTGGGCATAGGAGGTGAATTGGCAGAGCTGTGAGTTCAGGCTTCTCATAGTTTCAGATTAATTCCACTTGTTGGTCAAATTAATATTGGAAGCTTGATCTCCATCAAGTAAAGTTTGGGGTTTTCAAAGTGTGCTTAGGCCTGTAGTAGGGACTAGACAAATCTATGAAGGATAAGACCAACAGGAGCGACTAAACACAGTCAGGGATGTCACCTTAGGCTCAGGACATCCGTAAACTTAGGACTGCTGGAAACAGAGAGGGTTTCACAAGGGACAGGTCACTACATATACCCTGTTTGTTATACTTAAATCTGAATCATACCCTACTCACCACTTTTGGAGACAAAATACTGGACTAGACGGATCCTTGGTCTGACCCTGTCTTACGGCTTAGGTTAGGGCCAGGATTAATGGTACGGTTAATGTTGTGGCTTAGGTTTTAGGGCTTAGGTTTGTGCTAGGGCTAAAGTTGGACTACTTCCTTCAGCATCCTGGAAGCCCCATTGTAAATGACCTGCCCCACAAACTATCCTGGAATTGCTTCCGTTTTATCTGATTGCTCTTACCTTTCTTGCCTTTTGGAAGCTTCCTTAGATCATCTATCTTCTCATTAACCAAGCTCTAGAGAGAAAGGACAGAGCTGCAGTAAGATGCTCATGCTTGTGCTAGTTCCTTCAAAAATGCCTTTTTTTTTGTGGCAACAGTGCACTGCTTCTGTGCTCACCCACCTTGCTGTGAGTGCAGAGCTAAGTCCTAGGTGCACACAGCTCCTGTCTCACATCATACTCAGTCTCACTTTTCATTATGTGTCTTTATACGAATTCAACATTTGTGAAGGGCAAGGCCTGCCAGCCCTGTACCCCAGGTGGAAAAATGGAGAAACAGGAAGAAAGGGAAAGGGCAGTCAGGGCAGACCAGGGAATGCAGTGCAGGACCTCTAACCACCCCCAATCCTTCCTGTTATAATTCATAGGTCCCACTCCCAGCCCCTGGATCCAGGATCTTCCCAGAGGCAGGAATATAACCAGGCCTTCTGGTCCCAGTCCCCATGCTTTAAGTCATGAGAGGTAGGAATTGGATCTGGGAGTCAGAGAATCAGACAGAAGCTGGGCTGGAAGGGACCTCAGGAGATCATCTAGTCCTTCCCCCTGCCTGAAGGAGGGTCATCCCATGCAAATCCTTGTCTAACCTGTTACAATCAGTCCTATTTTACACAACCACAAGGCATAGCTCCTTAAGATGCCACAGATAGAGCAGGGGGACCACGGCAGCCAGTGTCCTGCTGCTACAAGGGTTGTTAAAATCCACCTGAGAGATCCCAAGAAGAGGGCCATGCCCCCCTGCTACAGAAGGCAAATACTCTGCGGTCTGGAAGAGCCTCTCAGGACAAGTAGCTGACACAAGCAACCTCGATACTTTGATGGTAGAACTTTATCCGTTTATAAAAGGGATTTGATGTGGGGCCTGCAACAGGAAGGAACTGGACTCCAGTACCCAGGAAGTCTGTTTCCAGTTCTGTGTCCCAGACACTTTAACCAAAACCCCCTCCACCCTTCCTAGGTCACCAACAGCCAAAACTTGGGTATCTAATTCAGGCCCAGCCGCAGCTGAAATCTCAACAGGCTCTGTATGAACAACCCCTAGCAATGTCTTACCTGCCCCCTCTCCCAGTCTGTGCTCCAGGTTCCTCCTCGTAAGCTCACCACACACTGTAGCTGTTGTCCAAGACCCTGAAGGAAGCTTTTTCCAGCCCCAGTCAAGTACTCCTCAAGGGCCTGGTCCCTCACAGCCACTTTGCTGAGGACCAGGGACAGTAAGTCAGCCCTGACAGCCTTGCGGGCTTCTTGCACATCTTTTCGGAGTCCCTCCAGCTCCAGCGACAAAGCCCCAGGGCTGGAGCACACCTGGACCTTGACCTGCGGGTTCTCCCAATCCATTATGCGCAGCAGCTCCTCCCCAACCTCCACTAGCTCTGGCCTGAGAACGGCCAACCTCTCCTGCACCAGGGAGTTATTGTCGAGGTATTCCCTGACAGCAGCCTCTGCTTCATCAACATGGGGATGGAGACCCACCATGGTCAGTACTCCCTGGCTGGGTCTGTCAAAATGAAAAGCTACATCCTTCTTTGCCCCCAGCCTGGCCAGCAACTCGGCCCATTCTTGACACTCCGTGGCCCAACGCAGTCCTTCTTCTATCAGGACAGTCTGCTGGCACACCAGGTTCATCAGCAGCTTTGCCGCTTCCTGCAGCTTATTCCAGTCCAGCCCAGACACCAAGACATCTGTGGGGGTTTCCTGAAGGGCAGAGGAAACTGTGACGCACAGCAGGACAGGAATTTCCCTCTCCAGAAAGAAGGCCTCAGAGAAGACCTCGCTGCGGAGTTCCTGGACAAACTGAGCTTGAAGAGGTGACAGAGGGACTGGCACCACCCTGAAGTCTTCAAGTAGCTCCTCCAGCCGTCTCTCTACTTCAGTCACCTGCCCACAAGGCCCCTGCAAAGTGATGGTGGCTGGACTGCCTTGATGAAGGTCAATGCTCACACGGTGTTTGGAGAGCTGGATCTCCTTGTCCAACATGTCCTTGACAATGATATATCTGTGTATTGGTTCAGCTGGATATTGCCTGCTCACCACCTGCTTCTGGAAGGCCTTCATTTGCAGGCTCTGAAGGAACCGTGCCATCTCACAGACCAGGCCCACAAAACACATGCTTTCATAAACTCTGATGGACCCGAACTTTTCCACCAGGGACGGTTCATCACTCAGGGCTCCCAAAAGGTCCATCTGGAGCCCACGCTGGACTGTAAATTTCTCTCGCATGGATCGGAAAGCTGGTTCCCAGCTGTGCAGGTCTGAGGACTTGGCTCTGGCCTGGAATAGCAGGATACCCTGGGAAGCATAGGCTTGAAAGCCATAACCGGCTGCCTTCAGTTGTCCTTCAAATTTATGCAAGGTAGCTGGGCTCTCATCCAGGTATCGGAGAAAGAGGGGGTCTTCCAGCTGACAGAACCCCACGGCCTCTGCAGGAGTGAGAAGATCACAGCATCATAGAAAAGCAGGGCTGGAAGGGACCTCCAGAAGTCATCTAGTCCACCCCCTTCCTTGAGGCAGGCTTTTTTCATCCTTGTCCAAACCATCCCATGCAAATCCTCATGTAACCTGTTACTGAAATACACAATCAACCCTGTCACCTAACTACAAAGCATAACACCCACATCTGCCACAGGAAAAGCAGGAGGATAACGGTGCTCAGTGTCCTGCTGCTCCAAGGGTTGTTAAAATACATTCACACTCCCTGCACTGTAATCACTGGGCAATGCAGTCCACCTGACAGTGAACAAGGGTGCGTGCTTGTGGACTGGGGATTTCCAAAAAGCCTAGGAGAATTAAACACACAATTCCCACTAAAACTGCATAAACCAGGGCTGACCAAGAACCAGTCTGTGGGCTGGAAGCCTTATCATCCAGCCTGTGGGGCTCCCCATGGGTCTGGAAACTTGGCAGTGCTCTCTGCATGGGTGCAGTCAGAGCTGCTCAGCTGTTGGCATTAGGCCTGCAGTGCAGATGACTGGGGAATCTCCTGCGTTAACTCAGCTCTTCCTTGGTATTCACAAGGGACTTTGCATCTCTTACCAGTGGGCGTCTTGATGTATTCAGCCACCTGGGAGAGAAGGGGGAAAAGGTATCCATTTGTACAACTGATGTAAGAACTAATCCCCTCCCCAAACTGGCACACAACCCAGGAGTCCAGACTTCCAGGTGTCTTGTCACTACGCCAACCACCAGCATCCATGCTGTTCCTTAAGCCAGGAATCCCAGGTCCCAGCCCCCAGATCTGATCTACTAGACCCCACACTCCTGCCTGTCCCAACTCTGGTGACCCAACTCCCACTCTGATCTGCCCCACTTACCAAGCCAGGAGGAGACAGGCCCGGGGCGCAGACAATCTGCACCAGCTTCATCCAAGTATTAGGCTTGTGTTTCAGGAAGTGGTTGATTTCATCCAGCATCACACACAGGGCCTCCTGCTCCTTCATCCCTGCCCCAGAATCTGGCTGTATCAGAGGGAAGGAGATGGACCGCAGGAAAGAGCCATAGAAAGAGCTGAGGCAGCTTTGCACAATTTGACGGATGACCTGCTGGGGCAGAGAACAAGAATGGGTATTTCCTAGGCCTTAAAATAGGAACAGACTTGGTAGTCCTAGCTCCCAGCTCCTTTGCTAAACCCTGTTCCGCTTCCAAAGCTAGGGAATCAAAGCCAGGCATCCCAGATCTCAAGTTACATCACCTGTGCTATAACCTGCCATTTGCCCATCCTACTCCTGCACATTCTCTCTCCCCCCCACCACGTACAAAATGCCCTCCACTGGTCTGTTCATACAATCTCTTCTTTAACTCCAACATTCAGAAACAAATTTTAAGATGCCTACGTATAGCTAAATGCAGCCATCAGATGGCAGCAGAAGGTCAAAAACACAAGTTACATATCGCTTGTGGTCCTTTAAAAATGATGCAAGTTGTTCAGGTTTTTTCTGAATTGGGTATTATACAAGGAGTCCAGGCTTTTTCTCCCTGTGGGGTTCTCTATGGACAATCAGAAAACTTGCAGCAGTATGAGCAGCTCCAGGAATTAAAAAAATCATGAGCCAGCCCCCGCCCCAAATAATGATGAAACTTAAGTGATTTTTTTTTTTAAGAGAGATAAGAACGAAGGTAGGTTATTTCACTTTCAACAGGTTTATGGCCAGCAGGGATGGTTACATCCTCCAGTCTGACTGGCTGTATAACCCAGGCCATGTAGCATCCCTTTACCAGGTCCAATGCTCTTAGCTAGGATTTCCGTTCTCCGAGACAAAACTGCGCCGCAGCAAAAAAAGAACGGAGATTGCCCTTACAGCTTACAATAAAAGTTTTGATGCTCAATAAATATATTCAGTTTTCAAAAACCAGCTTTCTGTGAATCCTTTGGTTTTCAGGAAAACTCCCACTGTTCAGAAACTGAAGGCAAAATATTGATTTTCCGTACAAATAATATTGGCTTTCAGTAAATAGATTTAGTTGTCAGTGAAATGGTGCGTTTTAAAAAACCTGCTTATGGTAAAAACAAAAAAAAAAAGTTTTTAGCAACACCGTTTGATTTTCAAAAGCTTTTGACAATATTTTTGGTATTCAGTAAAAAAAAAACCCAAAAACATAAAAATCAACTTTCAGTAAATATGTTCTGGTTTTGAACATTTCTTCATGTGAAAAGCTTCAATTTTAAATTGTTTACTAAAAATGCTTTTCAACAATAAGAGCAAAAAATCATTTTTTTAGTTTCCATTTCTTCCAAGTGAAAAAAAAAAAAAATCTCTAGGAAACAGATACTCTTTCCAGGATGTTTCATTGGGGAATGACATGGGGATGCAAAAACAACCTGGTTTAGCCAGTGATATTTGCCAGGAATGTATGTTTGAAAGCCAAGGGAGACTTTCAGAGGCACCTAAGCAAATGTCTGCTTAAGTCACTGGGGTCCTTTCATAAATCCCTGTATCCACCTCTCTGCATTGTCAGACACCTAAATCCCATTATCAAGCCAGCCTCTACAGATGACTTGTAGGTAGGAAAATTGGGTCTAGGCATATAGTACAATTGCTGAACAGCAAAGGGTGGAGGGAGCTCAGGAGCATCTGAGGGAAGAAACGCCTAGTATTCGTATGAAAATCCAGGCATGCACAAAACTAGAGAGGCCACGGGAGCTGCAGCTGAGACCTGTGGGGTGTCTAGTAGGTCCTCCATTACCTGGTGCCAGAGCTGCTCTTCATCCAGCCGCACCACATACAGCAGCTTGCAGTTCAAATCTGGGACAGCATCAGCCGGGACCGTTTTCACCTCTCCTGGACTAGCTTCTCCAAGGTGGGGTGCAGCTGCCAAAGCCATCTCTGCCAGGGCTTGGGCCTCCCGGCACCAGCACCGCCCGTGAAACTCTGAAGCCAATGGCAAGACCACCACATCTGTCTGAAGGAAACCAGAGAGCCAAGCTAGTTGGCTACATCTGCTTGCCCCAGGAATCGCAAGCCCTGCTGGGTCAGAGCAAGGCTAGCCCTGAGGCTGCCTTCTTCCCGCAGAGCAGCAAGAATCAGAGGCATTTAGTTTCCTGTTCAAAACCACCGGTGCCCACCCCGCTCCCAGAGCTAGGGATAGAGCCCAGAAGTGCTGGGTCATGGCACTGCCCCCAATCTAAAGCTGTCTTTTCTTGCCAGGTTGGGAGCAAAACCCAGGTGTCCTGACTCCAAGTCATGCCCAATCTAATGACTTGATCTCACTCATTTGGCTGAGCTGGAATAGACCCCAGGTGTCCCAAATGCCTGCCCCCCCTACTTACTTTCTGGTTTGCCATGGGGCCAGTGACCACTTCAACACTGACACTTTCCTGGGCTTGGAGGACTTTCCCCAGCAGCTCCTGCTGGTTCCCCCCAGTCGGCCAGTACCTCTTCCAAGCTGCATGGAGTGCAGCTGCAAGAGCACCATCTTCGGTCACAACAGAAATGCTGCTGAGTGAGGAGATGCGGTGGCTGCTGGTGAACATGGTCATCACCCAAGCCACAGCCTCTGCCATCCATATGCCTGCAGGATCCACACAGATGACCACAGAGGTCTGCTGTTCCTGGGACGCAGACTGAAGGGCTAGCAGCAGAGCACCTGTTCCCAGCTCGCCAGGTCCCAGATGAGACAGGAGAACATCCACATGGGTGTGGGGAGCCCCTCGTTGGCTCAGCAGCCTCTGGGAGAGCACGCTGGCACCTTGATTTGAGCCTTCCTTGTCTGAGATGCTGATGATCACATCCCCCCTGAGGCCAGAGGCATCCCCGTGCCAGAGGTACAGATTCAGCCCTTGCCGGAGGCAGTAAAACCCAATGACTCGGAGCTCAGCTGATGAGGGCCAGATGGGAGCAGGCCTCACCGCTTTGTTCACCCTGATAAGCATCTGGCTGACGGCCACTTGGGCTGCCAGCACTGCCTCATGAGAGCCAGAGAAGATGATGGTGCCTGCATCCTCCTGGTATCGCCAAGTGACCTCCACCTTCCACAGGGACAGAGCTAAGGCCCCCAGCAGCTGCTCCAGGAGGCGCATCTCTGCGGGGGTGACAAAGAGGGTACTTTTGGTGCAAGGGACCTCTTCATGGTGGCCCTGCCTGTCACCCTGGGAGATCTTTGGTTGGGTCCAGCCCGGAGAACTTGGCCCCATGTGCAGTGCATGGCACTCCTGGTCAACCTTGGGTGCCTCCTTTGTTTCAGTGTTGCCCAAAGTGGGGTGGAAGCATCTGAGAGCTCCCCTCACTGAGGCTACCATCTTCCTGAGGTGGTTTGCAGCTTGCTCCCAGTTCTGCTGCCTGGTGCTGGGATCCCTTTTGTTCCTTCTAACACCCAGGACAGAAGGGCAGGTCAGTGGCACAGCCAGGGAGAATAGGAAGGAGCCAAGTGGATCTTAGTCCTTGTTTGCTTCTGAAACTGTTGAAGAGAGGCCATTGTAAGTCAATGCCAGGATTGCTGGGGGGCTGGATGCCTGGGGTCTCCCCTGAGCAGTAGGTGAAAAGTGGAGTTTTTGGATTGGAAAACTGAATCAGTGCTCCTGGGGTCTAGTCCTAGGCCTGGCAGGAGAGTGGGGTTGAATGGGTTAAAGCAGATGGGGTAGGGGTGGGAGACAGGACCCTTAAGTTTTACCCCAGGTTGCGAGTAGAATCCAGTCTACTGTGTTGGGCCACTGGGGATGGGAGTCCTGGCTTCTTTTCCTAGCTGTGGAAGAGGACTGGGATCTAGTGGGCCAAAGCACGTGGGTTCAGTTTCTCAGCCCAAGTGGCCTCTACTCTTGTAACAGAACCGGAGAACAAGCATCTCACCCTCAGAGCCCAACCCATCAGGGTGGCCCCTGCATCCAACAGCTGCTTGCCAGGAAAGAACAGGAAGGGGAGTGGTGTAGCTGGGATGGGGCTACAGGCTGGGAGGAGGTGAGGCAGTGCATGGGGGGGCTGTGCTGGGATGGGAAGGAGCAAGGCCAGCAGGGGTAAGGTGGGGACAGCATTGTATGGGGTGCAGTTGGGAGGGTCAGAGTGTGGGAGTTAGTAGGGAACTCTTTGGTGGGGGCAGCATGGTGTAAAACCATTGTTTTGGTCAAGCAGGGTTGCCAGCCAAGAGGGATTTTTTAACTTGCAATCTGCAAGTTTTTTTTTACTACAGGGGTTAGTGTTAGACCCTGCCCTTGTCACTGCCATCACGGCCTGAAGGGTTACACTTCCATTACGTAAAACAGATGTCAGTAAAAAACACATTAGTATAAAAGTTTGGTTATCAGTAAAAGCATTGCAGATTGGCAGTGATTTTTTTTTTTTTCCCCTTCGGTTGGCAACCCTGCAGCCCATGCAGGGCTCTGTAAAGCCCAGTGCTTTGTATTGAAAATGGTGAGCCAGCTGTTCAGTACCAGGTGGTGAGCAAAGGAAGCTTCATACTCAACAGCTGCTGGCTGTTTTGAGTACCTCCCCTTGGCCACAACTTTGAGCTGGAAATACCCCATCTCCCAAAATCTCAATGTGCCATTCCTTCCAACCCCTTGTCCCCCACCACCAACCTCCATCCAGCAAGTCTGTCTGCTGACTTTCCTTCTTCCAGCGCCACACTGGACACCTTCTTGGAGATGACAGAGAAATGCTCCTGCAGCAGAATGAAACTTAATTTGCTCTTCTCTCAAGTAATAAACCTCTTTGTGAGAAGTTTCACTTTCCATTTCTTGTTTTTTTTTCTGCCCACTGCATTTCATCCGGGTGGGTGGGGTCAGGAAAGGTTTTGTGTTGGGTGAAGCCACCTGAGGTGAGTCAGAAATCAATACAGCTGGGAAGCCCGTCACCAGCTCAAGTGGGGACCTCACCTACCCAGACAGGTCAAGCAGAAAATTGAGCTGGTTTCTAGCAGGCCCAGCTGAGCTGTCGGCAAAATGAGATTACTCAGCTTCAAAATCCAACTAGTCTCAAGCTGCACCCATGGCCACTGTCAGACCTTTGTTCTGTAGGGGTAAATCCAAGGTCACTCACTGGGGACAGCGAGGCCAGAACCCACTATCCTGGCCCTAGTGTGGTCTGAACTCAATCCACTTGTGCTAAATACAGTCATGCATTGAGTGCAGGGGAGTAAATCAGGAGTCAGCAGTGATTGCTCCAGCTAAGTCAGGGGGCTCTTCCCCAGGTAGTATAAATCAAGAATCACTCCACTGAAGTCAATGCAGCCAAATCTCCAGGTGGTGCAAACCAGCTGTAGTAACACTGCAGTCCACAGAGTCAGGTCTCCAGCTAGTATCCGCTGGCCCATGGCTCCACTGATGTCAGCAGCCCAGATCTTTAGCTGACATAAGCTGGTTGTTGCCATACTGGAACTGATGGGGCAGTGCTGGTTTCTGCCAGCAAAGGAAGTGGCTGATGCACTGTTGTGCTGAGAAGCCCACAGGCAGGAGGAAGCAGTTTGCATAGAGCTGGGTTTGGTCTGGTCTTTTGAAAAATATCTTTCTAGAGCTGGGTAGTCAGCAAGGCAGGCTGGTTTGATAGTTATACGCTGCACCTGGTGGAAAAGGAGACAGGTTACACTTTGTGAAATTGGAGCACTGGAGTAACCCCGAGTCTAATGCTTGTTCCCCGCCCGGCACCCCACAGCTGGCTGCTTCACCGTGCTGGGTGGGCCACCTCTATGTAGCACTGCTGCGTTGTGCTGGGTCCTGGTGCTTCCCGCCCCACGGGGCATGGCGAGTCACTCGTCCCAGTCTAGCACCCTCGTCGTAGATGCACAGGCCCAGGTGCCCATACACGTTGCTGGCCAGGTCTCAGCTCCACAGAGCAGGGTTCACGCGCTGTGGGTGTTGAGCAGCTGGCAGGAAAAGCACGGCACAGGAAGAAGCGGTGGGGCTTGTCACAAGGATGCTCTGTGCGGGTGCTAGACGAGGAGCTGGCCGTGCCAAGCTGTCACCTCTCCGTGCCCCAGAGCCAGCCGCAGCTCAGAGGTGAGCCCCAGTCGCAGAGGAGACAGGCTGGACCGGACCTCCTGAGTCATCCCCGCCCGAACAAACCACCCCATACAATTCCAACACCCACCTCCTCGCCAGACCCCGCATCGCACCCCAGCACCCTCCACTGGCATCGCCCAGGACGGGGGGCAACGCGTGGCACGAGCAGGCTGTGCATATGTTGGGCAGAGCAGCAGAAAGGGGCGGGGAGCAGAAAGCAGAGCAGTGGATCAGGCGAGAAGTCGGACTCAGGGTGGCGGAGCAGAAAGCAGGGAAGCAAATCGGGCAGGGAGCAGAAGAATGGAGGGAAAAAAGAGCGGAAAGCAGAGCAGGACAACAGGCAGCGGGAAGCAGAAAGCAGGGAAGCAAATCGGGCAGGGAGCAGACAGCAGGAGAATGGGAACATAAGAGAAGCAGAAAGTGGAGCAGCAGCGCGGACCGGCTGATCCACATCATCCAGCGTCGAAAGGGTTACCGGCGGGCGCGGAGCATGCCGGGAGCTGTGGTCCGACGCCGCGGGGGCTGCTGGGAGCTGTAGTTGCCGGCCCCACCCCTACGTGCTGGCCCGGCGCTGGGATCTGGCTGCCCTGGCCAGCCCTGCAGCCTGTCTCTGGGCCGGGCATGGTGCTGCCCCCTGCCCTACTGCTAACCCGGGGCTGGGGCCCGAGGCCGGCCTGACCTTGCCCCTGCTCCCCCCAGGTGCCAGGATGTCGGACATGACCCAGGCGCAGGGCGCTGAGCGTGGTGGCAACCCCAGGGCCGGGGGCCAGGCCAGCGCCGGGGCAGCCTTGGACCGTGGCCCTGAGCCGGAGGGTTCAGACGAGGCCGGGGCGCGCTACTTGTGCGCGGTGTGCGGCCGGGGCTTCTCGCAGAGCTCCACGCTGATCGTGCGCCGGCGCTCGCACGCGGGGGAGCGCCCCTACGCCTGCAAGGACTGCGGCCGCCCCGTCGCCCAGAGCTCGGGGCTGTACAAGCACCGGCGCAGCGTGCACACCGGCAAGCGCTAGCACCCCTGCCCCGGCTGCAGCCACCGCTTTGGCAAGCGCTCCAACCTGGCCGTGCACTGGCGCAGCGTGCAAATGGGCGAGCGCCCCTTCTGCTTCCTCGCCTGCCCCAAGGCCTTCACCCGCCACGCCGAACTGGCCGTGCAGGGCCGCACCCACACGGGCGAGCAGCCCTACCGCTGCCCCGACTGCCCCAAGGCCTTCAGCGCCGGTTCCAACCTGGCCCAGCACCGCTGCACGCACCAGCCCGACCGGCCCTACCGCTGCGCCCAGTGTGGCAAGGGCTTTCCCGGCAGCTCGGAGCTGCTGCGGCATGGGCGCAGCCATACCGGAGAGCACCGCTACTGCTGCGCTGTGTGCGGGGATGCCTTTGCCCGCAGCACCGTGCACCGGCACCACCAGTGCACCCACCTGGAGGAGTCGCCCTACCGCTGCGGGGACTGCGGCCGCAGCTTCACCCAGAGCTCCGACCTGGTGGTGCACGGCGGCACCCACACTGGCGAGCGGCCCTACCGCTGCCCCGACTGCCCCAAGGCCTTCACCCAGAGCTCCCACTTGGCCACCCACTGGCGCAGCCACACCAGCGAGCGCCTGTACCGCTGCCCCGACTGCCCCGAGGCCTTCGCCCAGAGCTCGGCGCTCACCGTGCACCGCCGCACGCACACCGGCGAAAAGCCCTACGTCTGCACCCAGTGCAGCAAGTGCTTCCACCGCAGCTCCAACCTCATCCGCCACCAGCGCACCCGCACAGCCGAGCGCCCCTACCGGTGCCCGCAGTGTGGCCACGGCCTCCACCGTCGCTCCAACGTGGTGGTGCACTAGCGTGTCCACGCTGGGGGCCAGGGGCGCCAGGCTGGCGAGGACCCGGCCCACTGCAGAGGTGCCGACCCTGTAGCCCTACGTACCCCCGTACCGGCGGAGACGGGGACTTGGGAATCTCCGCGCTGTGTTGCGAGGACAGAGGACCCTGTAGCCCCCTTGGCCTTGCGAGGAGCCCTCCGAGACGGGGGACTGTAACATCCTCAGCAATCTCATCCTCTCTCCAGCCCTGCAGCCGTGCCCTGCTCCACGTGTACCGGGCATCGGCGTCTCTGACAAATTGGATGCTCCTCAAAGGGAAGTGAAGCGGGGACTCCCAAGTGCCCATACGTGGCAACAGCCACAGTCAGAAAGATCCAGGGGTTGGGCGCTGATGCTGGGGAGATTCCAGCTGCAAGTAAGGGATCGCAAAGTAATCGCAGGAGCGAGTGGTCCAGGGGAAGCGGTGGCCGCTACGTCCAGAGATGCTCTGGTGGCTTGGACACGAGTCCCAGGGTGGAACCTCAGGCCCGGGGGGTTAGAGCAGGTGGTCGTCATCCATGAACAGCATCTGGGCAGATCCCCCGCTTGGTGCCCGGATCACGCAAGAGCTGGTCGCACACCAGCTCCCGACCAGGGGACTCTTGCTCTGCTCACTCGCGGCTCTGCCATCGGTCCCCAGCACCCGAAACGCAGCGTGCTCCGGGCCTGGAGCCCAAGGATCTCTGGGCCGAGAGGGGAGTCGGTGCTTGGGGGATCGTGGATGAGGGTGTTGCGGGGAAGTGGGGCGGGGGGGTGCAAGGGGACAAGATGGTGCACGATGTTTGTAATAAAACCTTTGTGCTGTTTTGCAAGACCAATGAGGAAGAGCTGCGGGGTTTTTTCCTGGTCCAGAGGGCCGTCATCTCCATCCGTGTCCCTTTCACCAGCCCTAGCCTGATGTCTTTGAAAAACGGAAACGTCAGCTTGGGGGGCCCATTTAATAATAATAATAGTAATAAAATCTTAGCTCTAATTATGCAAAGAAAAAACGTGGCCCGGGGGAGAGTAGTCTGAATTGGGTTGCAGCCCCGCAGGCGGCGCTGCCTCGGCCCATTGCACTCGCGCTGCCGGCCGTGAGTCGTTCCCAAGCCGGGCCGGGGCTGGGCATCCGCGGGGCGCCGGCGCA